CCCGGGGAGGCCGCGAAAATAGAGCCGTGCTCGGATGAAACGCTGCCGTAGGAAAATGAATAACTGTACAATTAACCTGTCAGCTTTCCTTCCAGGGATTTTTATTGCTGGGGGGGGGTAGTCGAAGCGGGGGGGATAAAGAAAAAAACCCGAAAAAAAGCGTCGCCCCATGGGTGAGTCATTTGAACTGGACAGTTCGAGGGAAACAGAAGGCCAGGGGCATGAATGCGAACTAAACAAAGTTTAACCACCCCTCCTTCTTCTTCCCATGCGCGAAATGGAAACCTTATTATATGATTCACTGTGAATCAGTAGATTGAATGCGATCATTATGAGTAAATGATAGTCAGGGCTCCGCTGGTCTTTTCTTTCCTAGAGGCAAAACTATAAAATATGAAGGATATAAATGATCTTCTCTGCGCTCCCTCATAAAGGACATTCATTCAAAGCCGCACTCTGTCTCGCTCCCAATTCCTTTGGTCCCCTTGAATTCCACAACGATCAAGGTAGATTATGGCGAGTCCTGGTTTATTTGTCTTCACGTGCTTGTTTATTGGCGAAATGTCACAAAATGTAATTTGTCCCAAATTCTTTAACATGAGAAAATACTTTGTGGTTGAAGAAATCCATGCTGGTACCGCCAAGGCGATCTCTGATGCTCAGAGCAAGTTCATTATCATGTTATTTTACAGCGTTTCCATGTTTGCTCCTCATTTCTCAGGAGCGTTTTACATATCGTTGCATAAGAAAAGGATTTCGCCAGCTCTAGTTATGAGATTTCCTAGATTTTTTACAGGCGGAGCTGGTTTACAAAAGCTGTATTGTTTGACTGCGGTCTGGGTTTCCATTTGGGGTAATTATTGTATTCCCAGTCTTCTTCTAATCATTTGCTCACAAGGACACAGTTTTTTTTCCTCGCCTTTTGAAGAAGATGAAATACTCCAAACTTGCAAGACCATTGGAATAATCCCCCTGCTTCTTTGCCTATTGTGTAAAAGCTATTCCTTACATCTCTCTAAATTGCTGGAAAATATGCGATGGAAAAGATGGTAAGAAAACATACAGAGCAGAGCAGAAGAAACGCATGTCACCACATTTTGAAAAAACTCCGCAAACTGCAAAAGTCCTGATCTAAGTCTGTTCCCAATAGAGAGGTCTATGCGAATGGGGGGGAAAACCCAGCACGAAACAAACCCACTTTTCAGAAGTAAATACATTTCAGCTAGATAATAATCAGCTCCTGAGGAAAAAAAATTAAAAGTTCATAGAAGGAAAAATCAAGGGAGAGCAAACGCCTATGTGCAGAAGGGTTTCTCCTCCAGCTGCTGCCTCCAGCTGCACAGCTGGAGGAGGGCTGGGAGCCACGGCCCTGCCGGCAGACAGCGGCTCAACCTGCGGGCATGGGAGTTGAACTTGGCAGGTCTCCTCTTTCCAGCACCCCTTTTTGGACCTTGCTGCTGGTGTCACACAGCTTCCCAGGGCAAGGCTGCCTCCCCCCACCTTTAATTTGCGTCTGTAAAACCCGAGGCCCAAAAATGTCTCCCTAAACTCACAAGGAACAGGATTGGGGCAAGTATTTCTTTTCTTCCTCTGCTAAGATGGTTCGAAAGTGATTGTCTTAAGCAAAAATCTGCCAGTTAGGAAAACATGTATTCATGCATATACATGTAGAAGGATTTTAATTTCCCTGTGCAAAGGAAACTGCAGTGAACAGCAGAGTAACTGGTGTCCGGTATCTTCCAGACTCTGTCTATGGAAAAACAAAACAACATCACACTCCTGCAACTATCAAAGCCATCCGCAAGTATTTGAAACTGTCCTGATGATATGTAACCTCCTGCTTAGGAACTCCAGCGCCTTATTATTTTGGTGATGTGATCTCACCACATCCTTTTGCTGAGTGGCAGCCGATGGGTAGATATGATACTGGGAGTTACGTCATTCTAATAAATCAATGTAACCAAACAATTTCACTGCCAGAGGAGGAGGGAAAAAAATCCCAAATATTTTTTTTTTGAAACTGAATTTGTCTTTCAGAAAGCTTCTATTCCTCTCAGACTTTCCATCAACCGCCAACATAGACATAATCTAAAATGTTCCTGGCTTGCCCGCTGCTGGGCTGATTAGCTTTTGGAACAGAAGAGATGACATTTCTAGACATTGGTCTGCCTCACGCTGCCTTCATGTTATTCCCTGCATATGTGGTTTTGACATTATTTATGTAGCAAGTGTGGACTCTCTATTGGTGTTGGGTCACTTTGCTTTTCAACAGTTGGTTTTTTTCTGTCACTCAAAGCAGAACTTCTTTCAGCCTTTCACACTGCATCAGACTTCTCCCTGCGATCCGCGGCTCGAAGGTACGGCACCCTCCATGCGGCCCAGCATCCCTTGCAGGGGCGAGCCCAGGCTGGCCCACAAAGGGCCACGGGTGGCTGTGGGGTGCCCAGACCAGGCGCGCAGGCTGCTACCCACCTCCTCCCATGTCGTCAGTGTGGATCATGCTGTGGAGCAGGGGGAGATCCTGCCACTGGGTGTGAACTCTACTGATTTGGGGTGGTAGCGGATTCAGTCTCTCCCCTGCTGTTAACGGTCCCATTACACTTAGGCTGGCTTTGGGTTGATTTGATTTTTACTTCTGAGACTACCTAAAGGATTGACTACCAACAAAGTGCTCCTACTTTTTTCTTTTTCTATAAAATCACAGGAGGGATAATGAGCTAAAAGTGCCACATTAATAACACAGAGACACAAAGAGGAGGCTCAGTGACAGCAGGCAGCGCAGGGGTGCATTTGGGACATGGAGTTACTTCTGAGGTTTGCTGCTGGCCTTTTGCAAACCGTTTCACCTTTTACACTGGTGTCTCCCATCAGAGTCCACCCTTCACTAGTTACTAGTGTAGCTAGAAGCCCTGGCTGTAGGTTACGTTTGCACATGCACACACACGCACACTTCGCGCCCTGACTCCCATACTGCTTGCTGGGGCTGGGACGTGGGGGCAGATCACCATCCACTTCACCCAGCAGTAGCTATGTACAGAGAGAAATCATGTGCAGCAGCCTCACAGGTAGATTCAGGTCCTCCTCAC